AATGGGCAGCAGGTTTAAAACAAATAAAAGGAAGTTCTTCTTCACGCAGGGCACAGTCAACTTGTGAAACTCCTTACGTGAGGAGGTTGTGAAGGCTAGGACTATAACAGAGTTTAAAAGAGAACTGGATAAATTCATGGAGGTTAAGTCCATTAATGGCTATTAGCCAGGACGGGTAAGGAATGGTGTCCCTAGCCTCTGTCTGTCAGAGGGTGGAGATGGATGGCAGGAGAGAGATCACTTGATCATTGCCTGTTAGGTTCACTCCCTCTGGGGCACCTGGCATTGGCCACTGTCGATAGACAGGATACTGGGCTAGATGGACCTTTGGTCTGACCCGGTACGGCCTTTCTTACGTAATAAGAATGAAACAACTTCAGTAGAGTCATCATAATTTTGTAATGATTTAAAAGAGCCAAAAAGCATCAAGAAACTGGGGAAATGTATCTGAACATTTCCACACTGCTTTGTTAACGTTATTATGCTCCAAACATATACAACTACATGAAAGTAGACATTCATACCAGTGAGCTGGTCTAATTCTCTCAAAGCCATTTCCTGAAGGAGAAAAGCAAAAGAAACATCAAAACTGCCAGCAATAAAAGGCTCAATTCATGAGAAATAAGAATAGGGTGCAGAGAGGGCAGTGAAAGTTAACTCCACAACAGTGAAGCAGCAATACCTTCTATCTCCTGGGAAATAATCCTCTCCAGCACAGTGGTCCAACTCCCAAAAATCCTCAGGATAAATTGGATGGAAGCTAGAGAAATGAATTAAGCAACCTGCACAAAAACTGATCTATTCAGCATCAATACATGTCTAATGTGCCTCTTTTCTCATTAGCACTCCTGTCAAAAGCAAGCTTTGGAATGATGAAAATGAAGATTCTATCAGCTCTTGTTTTGCTGAGCATGCTGCTTGGTACTAACATGATGCCTTTCAGTCGACTTTCTTGTTACAAGAAAGTGCTAAAAGATCGCAACTGTCACAGCATCCCAGAAGGTGTGGCCAGTCTTCGACGCATTGATGGAAATCTTCAAGACCACTTCTGGGAAGGGCAAAGTTGTGAGATGATCTGTTACTGCAATTTTAGCGAATTACTCTGCTGCCCAAAGTAAGGCAACTTTCTGTTACATAGAATTTTACATGTTTCTATGGATTTAAACAAGTGCTCATTACATTTCACTGTAGTATAGACTACTACTTAAGGGACCAGCTTTCGTTTCAAAGAAATGAAATATTTTATCAAGCTTAGAAGTTAGACCAAGATTTGGCCATTTTCTTATCATTTCATTTGCTTTTTTTAAAGTAAAGGGGAAGATTGACATTGTGTTTGCTTAAAGTATTAAATCACACATCCCACTACAGACCTGATGTAACATTATTTATTTCAGTGAGCTTATAGTAGGCTGAATTTTGCCCCTTGTTCTTTACTTACTTGACCCAGGACATATAAAAATTGGGCTCTTTGAACTAATCCCTTGATTTTTTCAGCCAATAATTTCAGCACCCATTAGTGAAGACCAGTTTTTCAAAAGAGATGAGAAAGACCTAAGGTTCTTGCTGCATGGTAAAATATGTCATTGCCTCTGTATATTAGTTGGTGCAGATATTTCATCTAAATAAGTTGAACTACTGCAAGAGAGACATTTACAATAAAAAGTCTGCAGAAAAGTGAATGGGGAAAAAAACTGAATTGAAAAGCATTCAGAAGTTACCTAAAAACCTCAACACTTCCCCCACCTCTACTTGTAGTATCATAGATAGTGTTGCACATTAACAATGAAGGATAGTGACAAATACTCCCAATGTTCATTAGCAGATCTTGTTGGAAAAACTCTAGTGGAACAATTCAGTCAAAATCTAAATGATTTGTGAAATCATGTCAATTTCCCTGAAACTTCGTTTCAGGGAAAAATTCTGACAATGTCCAAACATGTTGCCTCACCATTTTTGGAATGAAACATTTTATTTTTTTGTTTGTTTTAAAATTACTTTGTTTCAAAATCTTTATTTTGTATACTATATAATAAAAATGTAAAAAGCCAAAATGGAAACAATTTTCCCCATGAATTTTCTTTTGGGAGAACGTCACAGTTTTCAGACTCCCCCTCCCCCCAATTCTGAATGAAGCCAAATTTCAAAGTCCTTTATTACACAGAATTTCCATCCTCCACTCAGCTCTATTCATTAGGTTTATAATGGCATATTTTCCCCTATACTACCCTATCCAATTTCATTGCTTTGTAAGAGTAGGTCCTAACAAATATTTATTTCATTCAACGTTAAAGACCACACCCTTTGCTCCAGGTGCTCTAGAATAACTAAAACCCACAAAGAATAAAATCATATTAGCCTGTCCTTACTATGCCACAGTAACCTGAATGATCCCTGCACTGATCACCTGTATTTCTCAACTCACCCTCTCCTGAAATGTCCTAAAGAGGAGCTTTTCAGCATGTCTGAAGGGTTAATAAAATCAGGCTGTGTGGGAATGAATTCCAAAGTCACTCTGCCAGCAACCCACTTCCTTTTAAACTAGGCGGCATGGTTTAACAGCAACTTTCATAAATAAGAGCAACTTTTCATATTTCCCATTCCCTCCAAAATCACTGCAGGTACCTAGATAAGGCACAGTATTTGCTTGCTAACTCACAACAAGTCTTCAAAATCTTAGATAAAGAAAGCTTTTACTAGACTACAATACAAAAGATCTCTTTGCATACCACAAAAGACCCTCATCTTGGAGTTCAGTACAAAAGCCTCCCTTAACTGTGTATGTGCACATTTTCTATGCATCTTTTTTAGAATTTATCTCAATAAAACTGAAATTATGCCACCAGGATGAAGTCCTAGCCCCACTGTGGTGCTTGGCAGTTTTGCCATTGACTTCAGTGGAACGAGGATTTCCACTTGTCAGAAGTTTAGTTTCTACTGCCACTGAAGCTTGTGCACTTCTTCAGATTTGTATTTAAACACAAACCAAAACAGCAAAGCAGTTGTAGATGGGTTTCATTTTAGAGTTTCCGATAATTTATGATGACCTTAAAACTGAAATACCTGATAATTTCTTTCAGAGGTATTTTCTTTGGACCAAAGATCTCTTTTGTCATCCCTTGCAACAATCAATGATGAGCATCATGTGTACCAGTGAGAAGACGCACACAGGACTTCACAACAGGAGATAAACAATGTTGTCATAGAAAATCTAAAAAAGAACAGGAGTACTTGTGGCACCTTAGAGACTAACACATTTATTAGAGCATAAGCTTTCGTGGACTACAGCCACTTCTTCGGATGTATATAGAGTGGAATATATATTGAGGAGATATATATACACACATACAGAGAGCATGAACAGGTGGGAGTTGTCTTACCAACTCTGAGAGGCCAATTAAGTAAGAGAAAAAAACTTTTGAAGTGATAATCAAGG